ATTCTGTTAGATGCGCAATGTGGAGTTCTGCTTTCAGTGATTTTACCAACATATCGTCGATATAGACCTCCATGGACATTCTAATTTGCCTTTGGAATATTCGATTCACTAGACGCTCGTAGGTGGCTCTTACGTTTTTTAACTCAAAAGGCATAACTTGATAACAATACGTATCCTGCTCAGTCATAAAGGAGGTCTTCTCCTGGTCGGTTGGATCCATCCTGATCTGATTATAGCCTGAGAAAACGTCCATGAAGCTGAGGAGCTCGTGTCCAGCTATGACATCTACTATTAAGTCGATCCGAGGTAAGGGAAAACTGTCCTTGGGGCATGCTCGGTTGAGATCTGTGAAGTCAATACAGAGCTGTCACTTGCCGTTAGTCTTCTTGACAAGAACCACATTGGCTAACCAGGTAGGGTAGTCTATTTCCCTAATGGCTTTAGCGTGGAGAAGTTTGCTGACCTCTTCATTAACTGTCTTTTGGCGCTTTGGGGCAAAATTTCTTTGTTTTTGCTCAATAGGTTTGCAGGTGGGATTCACACTTAACTTGTGTGTGATAATCGAGGGATCGATACCTTCCATGTCTTGTTGCTTCCAAGCGAATACTCTCATGTTCTCCTTTAGGAATTGGATGAGAAGGTCCTTTATTTCCCTGCTTAGTTTAGACTCGACGTAAACAAGGTGTTCTGGCTCCTTATCAAGCTGAACAGGCTCTAGTTCCTCTGATGGCGTTGGCCTAGTGTCTAGTTCGTCTCTTGTATCGAGCTCATCTAATTGGACACTTTCGACTTCTTTTTGCTTCATCAAGGTCATGTAGCACTCTCTTGTTACACGTTGGTCTCCTCAGACCACTCCAACTCTATTCTCTGTAAGAAACTTCATCACTAGGTGATAGATAGAGGGGATTGCCTTCATCGCATTGAGAGAAGGTCTCCCGAGCAGCATATTGTATGCAGAAAGGGCATCAACCACCAGGAATCTTATTGTAGTGGTGGCCTGGCAGGGTGGATCTCCCATAGTGAGGACGAGTTGGATTGAGCCTAGGGGCAGTATCCGTTCCCTTGAGAACCCTAATAAGTGAGCACTGACTGGCTCCAACTTTTCCCTGCCTATGCCCATTTTGTCAAACGTAGAAGTCAATATGATATCTGCTGAGTTTTCGTTGTCAATTAGAACTGGGTGAACAGTTCTGTTAGCCACGACAACACTTACCACCAATGAGTCATCATGAGGGTATTGACAGCCTTCCAAGTCTGAGTCTGAAAAGGTGATGGCTATGTTTAGCCGAGGTGCCCTGGACACGGTGTGCCCTTTCAGTGCTTCGCCAGCTCTGATTCTGTGCAAGTGAGCCTTTCTGGCTGAACTAGACTCTCCACCCCTTACGAATCCTCTAGATATTACTCTGATTTCCCCTAGGGGTTGTTGGTGTTACACAGGAGCCTGTTGCTGAGGTAATGGAGGTGGTAGAGCTCGGTTCTGATTATCTTGAGCTACGTAGCGATGCAACTGCCCTCGTTGGATCAGGAACTCAATCTCTTTCTTCAATTGGAGGCAATCATCAGTGTGGTGACTATGATCTCTGTAGTACTCGCAATACTTCATGGGATCTCTTTTTGTTGGGTCTGCTTTCATTCGGGGTAGCCACCTTAGGAATTTCTTGTTTTGTACCTCATATAAGATCTGTGATATCGTTGCAGTGAAAGGAGGGAGTTGCCGAGGTGCGTATCTTGGCTGCAACTCTGGCTGTGGCGGACCTAGGCGATCTCTGACGTCTCCCCTTCTCTTGGGGGAGCGATCTTTGTCTCTTCTTAGAGACCTATCTCGTCTTCTTTTTCTTCTGGGACTTTGGCCCCTCTTCTTCTCTTCTTTTCCTCAATCTTTTTGTGTGGATGAGCTCCCCACCTTTGAGAGGAGAGCTTTCTCGCCGTTTATGTATTTTTTTGCCTTGGCCAGCACCTCAGCCATGCTTGCCTGAGGGTTCTTCGAAATAGAGAACATCAGATCTTTGGACTGCACGCCTAAACCAACTATAAATGCGGTAATGACAAATTTCTCATCTGGGACATCTACTTTCAGTGACTCCGAATTGAACCTCTAGACATACGATTTGAGGTTCTCTTGGGGTTCTTGTTTCACGTTCAGTAAGTGGTAGCTCGGCTTTCGGTATGTTCGAGCTTTTATGAAGTGAGATATAAAGGATATGAAAAACTCCTTAAAGGAGGAGATCGAAATGGGGGGGAGCCTATTGAACCATGCCAGGGTTGAACCCTTCAATGTGATAGCAAAGGCTCTGCAGCGCACAGGATCCTGATATCTATGCAGTTCTATCTGGTTCTTGTAGGTATTGAGGTGATCCACGGGGTCTTTCGTCCCATCAAAAATCTCTATCTGTGGTATTCTGAATTTTGGATAGGGAAAAATGCAGCATGTCGGTGGTGAATGGGGACTTAGTCTGTTGCACCAGGGCATCTATTGTGACTGGAACTTTGCTCTTCACAGCTTCCTTCATGTGACTGAGCTCTTGCTGGATGTCCTTGAAGCGTTGCTCCTAGTACTGTTCTCTCCTCTCCTGCTGAAAAGTGAAAAAATCATTCCTCTCGTCCCCATCGTTTTGATTTTGCACTTCTTCATTGTGTCCATTCCTAGGGGGTTGATGGGGTACCTGTCCCAAGGTCTGACTATTTTTCCCTCCTTCATTAACTTCTCTGAGGGGATCGAGGTGTTGTTCTCTGTGAGGTGGGTTATTCTAGCCTTTTTGGACTTGTCGTGCCTCCTGAGGGTGTTGCAAGAGCTTCAAAAGCTCCTCATTTTGCTGTAGCAGACGTTGATTAACTAGGCGAAGGGCCTCCAACTTGTTATTTGCGGGGGGATTTCCCATGGGAAGATTAGTCTCTATGACATTCTCAGGTTGTCTGTCGGTGGTAGCTTCCTGTTGGTCCTGCATTCGTGATAGGCTTGTTTGGCTTCTGCTCATGTTGCGAGTTGAGACCATCAGTCACGGAAGGATCAGTGTATTAGGAACAATCGTTCTCATAGACGGTGCCAAACTAATTGAGTGAATTCGTGTGGATGAGCAGAGGGAATGAATTGTGCTTGATGACTTAGACCTGAGCTACAAGGCTCGTGAGATTCGTGTTGAAATTACTAGAGGATTGGGGGAGTTTACACAGTGAAATTATAGTGGTTCACCAGTTTTGGAGCTCGGCTAATCCACTTTGAAATGGAGGCTCTTGCTCCTTTTTGCTTTATTGATAAAGGGAGAGGTTTTTTACCAAGTTGTGTCTGCGCAACTGGGTCCTCTTTTTAATGGGGAATTATACAATATTTATAGAGTCATCCCTTGTTCTATGGGATCTCCACCTAGATCTTTGTCTCTAATCCTTGGATTCTTCCTTGATTTTTGGAGAATATCTTAGTTGGTTGAAGATTGTGTAACTTGAATATGACTCTTTGCCACTTGTAGGGATCCTGTTAACACCCAGCTGTTCTCTTGTCTTCCCCGCTACTGCCTTATCTGGGGTGAGCTCTTAGCTCCGGTCCTCTGAGCTTTGCATAACTTGTCTGACCTCCACGCCTAAGCTCATACTTGGAATTTATTCTTGGTATCATCACTATCAATTCCCCCTCTCTTCCCCGTGATAAAAAATAAGACCTAGAAATTAATGGCATTGCGGTAGTTTAATAACACAAAATGATTATGTATATGCATGTATGTGTATCTTTTGGGTTTAATAAACCGAAACTTTTATTAAAGAAAGAAAGGGAGAGGGGAAGTCAAGGTATTCTTCAAGCAAAAGAAAGCACAGCAAAGAAGATACTGCCTCCAAGTGCCAGGAAGAAGTCCCAGGAAAAAACTCATAAAAGGTGTACCTGCCCTCTAGATGGTTGTAACATTAGACTTCGATTGTCTTGGATTGAGCCATGTGCCTTGCCATTTACTGCTTTTTAGATTATAGCCTCATAACTCATGCAACAAACGTCCATACTGCCAAGAGCCTAAGTAGGCTGATCTAGACCACTTAACTACTGCTGAGAAGGAGGGCGAAAATAAAGGGAATACTCTACTCTGTTGGAAAAGCAATGATATCACAGCAGAACTTTAAGTGGGAGTTTGTTTAATTATTTGATGATCAATATCAAGAAGTAATTCTATTTTATTTTGCAAATATTTCTTTTGTTTTAGTATTGTTTAGGTGTCTTCAAGTCATATCTAAGAATGCCAGTGTAAGTACTGAATTAGTTACGGAAATACTTACCATTGGTTAGCAGAAGTGTTCATTTTTTACTTACACTACTTCACTGTTATTGCAGAGGCAACAGGAACTGATGTACATTGTCACATATGACATTCTTTTTGGACAGGTGGTCAATTTTCCTAATCGTGACAGCTTTGACTATGCAGATGTTACTTTGTTTTGTACTTATTTAGGCTTCCTCTTTTCTTTCTTTTTTCTGGTGAGTATATTTTCCCTCAGCAATCGCAGGGCATTTGCTGAAAGATGGGTTAACTTATGAACTGTGCCAGTTGTATTTGCAAGTTGAACAATCTTCCCTGTTTTAAACAGTCCGTGAAAGGTTACTAGTGGTGAAGCAGAAGAGGAAATCATGCCGTCAAACACGGAACAACTGATAAACAAATCTGCGAATCAACCAATGGCATATGAATGTATTTAGTGTTCTGTCTTAGAAGACCCGATGCTTTTACAAAAGTTGATGCTTTGATACGGCTTAGTGGCTATAAATCGTAATCTACTTTTTATCTAGATATTTCCGCTCTTTCTGGATATATTCTGTTGGCTGTAGAATATTTGCTTTTTGTTCTCCCTTAACCATGTGGTATTTAATTAGTGTATGCCGCTTATTCTTGTGATGTGAAGAGGAAGCTTGTTTTCGTCAAGCAATAATAGTATAGAGTGCATAACAAACACATCTCGCTTGTGGCATTTCTCTTCCAATATAGTTCAGCGATCTTTTGACTTGAGCTCTTTTCCGTAGGCAGCTTCATTAGTTGGTGATGCGGAAAAGTTTCTTCTGCACAGGAAAGATGCTATACAGTCAGCTCTAGCTAAGCTTTTGGTGAGAAAGAGAGTGAAACACATCAATGAGTTGACAGCTCTTTATCAAGTTCCCAGTACGTGTTATGACTGCTTTCCTCCCATGGTGAACTCTGTCCTCTTAAGGTTCAATTTAGATCGGTAATATTTTAGTCTAAATGCTAGATATATAAGGCAACTGAAACATTACTGAAGAAACATATAATCTGCAGAAAACCTTCTGATGGTTTAGTCTAATTATTGTTATGTGCTCGGCTTTGTTATTGCATGTTACATATGCGTGCTCCTACTTACTATTACTCCAAGCTTCAAAGCTTTAGTGTAATTGTGGGGTCCGGATGAAATTGTTCTTTTTTAGATAGATATTAGGCACATAGGTGCACATGAGATGTAGTGCTACTTGGATAGATATTTACTGAATTTGGATTGTCAATTTTTGTTGCAGATGTTTCAAAACCTCGTTATGTTCGTGTAAATACTCTTAAAATGGATGTCCAGTCTGCCTTACTTGAACTAGAGAAACGATACATGGTACTGTATCTTACTTCTATGAAGGCATTTCAGAAGATAGTGACGAATGATGTTTAGATGTTCTTTTGATAGAAATCACTATTGCCCACTGCTGTTAGCTTGAGCATACCTGTTACCTCCCTCAAAAGTGGAGGTGCAAATATAGTGAATGATGTAAGATGAATATTCTTACAAAATTAAGTCACTAGCAAAGCTTTTCTTCTTTTTATTTTATTTATTTATTTTTTTTTGGGGGGGGGGAGGGGGGTTGGGAAAGGTGAGCCTCACTAATGTAGCTTTTAACCACAGCCCAGTGAATTCTTTTGAGGACATGGCAAACTAATATATTAGAACCAATGAAATTAGAACATAATTAATGTTGTTATATAATCTTTTCCTAGGCTGAATATAACTGGGACCGAGGTCTCTGAAACTGTCAAGGAGACCCCTTGTAGTCTTGATAATGCCATTGACCCCTTATTTTAAGTTTGGAGCCACAAAAACCTCTTAATTGTTGTGAAAATCTCACTTCCAATACATGCTGTCAGTCTGGTTGATGGCGCCAGCAAATATTTGTCCAAGAATGGTTATCATGTCCCTATGGGACTCACAGCTAGGTCAACCAAAAAGTATGCCCATATATTGGAAAAACAGCTTGCCTCTAACCTGCCGTCTTTGTCAATCCAATGTCAACCTCACTGGCACCATCTCACCCTCATTCCTTCCGTTTCCTCATAGCACACCTCTCATCACAACACCAAATCACAATGCACCAGTTCTATAATTACCGTATTAACAAATTTCCCGAGACCAACTACAGATTTATATCACCTGCCTTGACACTAAAATCACCATGGCTAAGTGTGGTTGCTAAATCATTATAGCTGATTCAGTAATAGCAAATAGCCCTCACTCATGTATACCTTACTTTTCTTAGCGACATTTTCTTTGCAATAAACTTGATCAATTTTTTAATACATGTTTCTTTTCCTACAATCACTTTATATATCTTATTTTACCTTTTTTTTTTAATGTTTACTACATCAAATAGGTTCAGAAGGATGACTTGGTGCGTGACCTGCTAACACTTCCACCGGGTACTGATTTGCATAATCACCCTTTGGTCATTAATGGAAGTGTCTTCATGCAAGTAAGAATATTTTCTTGTCATACATCTAATGGTTTAAATGTCCTTGATGCCTCAAGACTTTTTCTTTATGAAGTGTAATTAATACCAAATATGAATTTCTCATTTCAAAAGAAAGAAATCAATTGTGACTTTCTATTGGTAAAATCTTTCTTGTTCTGGGTTCTTGCACTTGATGTATATCAACATCATCTGTTCTTCTAGGGTAAGGCAAGTTCCATGGTGGCAGTAGCGCTTGGGCCTAAACCAGGATGGCAGGTGAGCTATGCCTGCGTCATATTGTAACTTCCAATTAGCAAGAGCTCAGCTAACCGTTCTGATGATTTGCATTGCAAGAAACTCTTAATTTATGATTGCTAATATTCTGGTGAAGGTTCTTGATGCCTGCTCAGCGCCAGGGAACAAAACTATTCACCTTGCTGCTCTTATGAGGGGAAGAGGAAAAATTATAGCTTGTGAACTTAATCAGGAAAGAGTTAAATCATTAGAAGACACTATTAAATTGGCTGGGGCTTATAGTATCCTTTCAATGGCTTTCTGATTTTGTAACTCACCAGCATTCTTCCGTTGCAAATTTGTAGTACTGTCACTTTAGTTTGTTCAGAGTTGTGGAATGATGAGAAATCTATCTGTAGGTTGATACTTGTGTAAACATTTGTATATATATTTAATTGATTTGAAGGTTCTCTTAATTGTGTACTGCTAAGTTGCTTATTATTGAGCTGTCAACTTGTTCTCTGCCTTCAAATGTTATTTATGACTTTTGAAAGAATAGTTTTATGGCTAGTTACTATTTATTCTTTGCTTGTCAATGTTCAATTTGTTAGGATATATATTGAGAAACTTAACCTGGCTTCTAGATGTTGAAGTTGTGCATGAGGACTTTTTAAACTTGAATCCAAAAGATCCTTCGTACTCAAAGGTAATGGAGTTCTAAAGTTATAGCGGAAAAATTGTGGATTGACATATTAAACTTGGGCTTTTGCCAGTATGCTCTAGAGATTGTGATTAATTGTATTCATGCTTCCGTTTTGATTGGTTGCATTTATGCTTCCTAATTCTCAGTGCATTGCATAAAATTTTAATTTGAATTGTTATTTGTGCCACGCTACGCCTCTATGGAGAGAGAGAGAGAGAGAGAGGTATGTAAAAAATGAAAAAGAAAGTAAGAACCCCTGTTAGAATTCCTGTATATGCAATCCTTATTTTTCATTTTTTTCAGCTTGGTTTTGAGGTTGGTAATGAGAGAGATTTGAGATCTCTCAAGGATTATTGCTGATCCCATTCTTTCTGGTTGCACTATCATCTAGATCTGTTATCTTCTTATGAGCACACTTCTTTTTGCAGGTTCATGCTATACTCTTAGATCCTTCGTGTTCTGGTTCTGGGACTGTTGCTAATAGATTAGATCATCTGCTCCCATCATATAGTGCAGGTGATTTATGACGTCTTCCTCTTTTGTTGGCGTCCTTGTCTTCATGCTGCAATTTCTGTCATTTCTCCATTTTTACTACAGCTGAGTCCCTTGCATGCACTTTTGTTGGCACAAACTAAATTGTGTTAAACATGCTGGAGCTGCCTATTTTTTTTTTTTCGGAAAGTAAACACTCGTTATTGTAATCCTTCTGTATCCATGAAATAATTTGTTTTTGGATCCCTTCTTTGCAAATGGGATTAAGTATTATGCTAGATGTTGCCTTCTTGCTATCTGCCATCTGCCACCCCCACCCTACCCCTACATCATGCCTCTTCATCCAGAGTGGATAAAATGAATGACTTCAAGTTTGGATGCTTTTACAAAAACTATAAGATTCCTGTATCCAACTTATTTCATGGCTGCAAAGCAACCTACCATATCATGTGCAGTTCTTGTGCTTAAACTGTATGTCTATATTTTGAATTGTTTTCATTTCTGGAGTAATGCTCATTTCATGCAATGTTTCCTCATCTTTTACTCGTTTGCCAAAGGTCATGCTGATGGCGTTGCCATAAGGCGACTAACGAAGCTTGCTGCTTTTCAGAAGAAGGCTCTGGAACATGCATTATCTTGTAAGTTTGCTATTCTGTTGAATACCACTCTATTTTTTTGGGCCACAATAGAGTGGATTTGTTATGGATATAAGTTTTTACCTTCACTTAATTTTTTGTTAAAGCAATATTAATTTTAGTTTTGTACCCATTCCCCTGCATGATCATATTCTTTGTTTCTGCACCATGATTGCCACATTCCCATGAATTAGTCTAAAACCTAAATATTAATCATGAAAGTCAACCCCCTTGCCCTAAAGAAATGAACAAAAATTATTTTTCTCTTTTAGATACCAAGTATTTAATATCAAAAGCAACTAAAAATAAAAAAATTCTACCCCTTTGTTTCATAGGATTACTACTCTAACCTCTCTATCTCTTGCAACTGTGAAAGTCCGTGTGTGTGTGTGTGTGAGAGAGAGAGAGAGAGAGAGAGAGAGAGAGAGAGCACAGATTCAGTAAGGATATAAGTTGATGTAGTCCTGCAAACTGGTCCAGGGGGGTGGATAGTGTGTGGGGAAGGTGGATGTCTCTTTTACAGTTTACTGATTGCAACCAGAAAATCTATGAAGGTTTTAAGTTAATAGCCTGATGGTTATTAATAAGACATTGTGGAGGGGTGCTCATGTCATGTTCAAGAAGTCTAATATCTTGTGCTTAATGAGTTTTTACACTCTTTCCCCTTGACTGTTCTCGTTTCTTCTGGTTGATCCATGATTTGTTTGTACAGTTATTGAAGTGAAAATTGATCAAAAAAACTTTTCCTGTGAATTTTGTTTCGAATACTAGTCAATGGATGCAGAATAGGGAGTGGAATAGGCTTGGGTCTTTCTCTTGTGTGCTCAAGGGAGTTTGCATTTCATGGCTGAGGAAAGCCATTGAGGAGGCTGTGTCTTGGAAAGGCAGGGGGTTTTCATTCAAAAATACAGGGATGCAGGTTTTTGTGTAGGAGTGGAGATAGAATCTAGTAGAGCAGATAGAATCTAGTAGATTCGGAGATTTTTTGAGGATCACCAAGCAACTAAACAATTGCAGAAGGATAGGATTGATTATTCCTAAAGATTTAGAAGGAAGGGGATGGATGGAGTTTGGAGGGTTATTTGGGAGCATTCATTTTTGGGGAAAGGAAATAACTGCTTAAGGAAAACATGCCATGGACTCAATTGAAGAGAATGATGTGGGAAGGAATCAGTTAAGGTAGCAGAAGTAGTTCACCAAGATTCCTTTGGGTGATTAGGTATTTCTCAGAGGGGAAGAAAGATGGAGGAATGCTGTTTTTTACCATAGAGAGAGCTTGTACCATCCATGGAGTGTGATTAAGGAAGCTGTCAAATGCTTTGCAATTTGAAGTTGAACTGAATCCATTTCAAAATAGGTAAGACAATTTCTTTTGTGAAAGCACCAGTTAGGTAGAGGAAAATTTGGAAGAATGAAAATCGAATGTCATGATTAGACGTTTTTTAGCTTCAATCTTGACTTTAGAGTCCACTGTAAGCTCTTGAGCAATAGTTTCACTAAGCGATAAACTGATCTCCATGATCCTCCTCTTCATTATTGGAATCCTCCTAAATCCTTTAGAATCCTTCTAAGATCCTTCTTCCACTGTGGGTTTGTGGGTTTCTACAATGTCTCTCTATCTCATGTAAATAAAAGGTTTAAGCACAAGATTGATCAAAGTAGATCTATGACCTTTTGGATTTAGGGAGTGTAGGGTTTGTTTCTAAGTTATCTAGATATTTGTTAAGAGTTTTTTAGGCTTATGAGAATTACCTTAGTGTTAAAAGGCCATCCCATATATATAGGTTCGGAAATTAGAGTTAATTGGGGCTCAAGAACCTAGATTCATGACATTAGTTGAGTTGTTGGCGAACAGTCATCGGACAGTTGCTACTGCACTAAACTATTACAAAATTCAACCCAAGGTTCAAAATATTGGCCCATACTAATACGTCGGTCGAGTTATATTCGACTCGATACCTTCTGAGTTGATACAATTACACATTACGTATAAACCTCGAGTCTCGCATGACTTAGCTGAGTCATGTAAGTCATCTTCGAGTTATTGTTATCGAATAGACTAATACGGTTCCGCGACACCACGACATGACTTAAATCTCTCACTATATTCAACTTATTCTTTTAGGTTGTATCGCTCAATACAATGTTGCAATGTCGCGACCGATGTCTCAGAGTCCTTCTAGTCATGACTTATATCGCGATCTTGAACCATGATCTAACCCAAAATTAATTGGCAATGGGTGGAGTGGCTAAAGATCAAAATTTTGTTTCGGTGCATATTTTCGGTGAGTATGGAAACGAAAACGTTTTGGTAATGTTTCGAAAATAAGATGGAAATATTTAAAAATTTATTTTCGAAACATTGGTCGAAACAACCGAAATATTTCGAAACACAGGTCAAAATACCTCGAAACACACCAAAACATAGGAATTTTGGTATTCAATCAATTATTCATTTTGGTTTCCATGGAAACGGAAACGTTTTGAAATGAAATTTAATTCGTTGGGAGTGGTCCCTCAAGTTATATATACTAATAAACCAACTTTGGTGGTCCTACTTATTCAGAGTGTGATACAAACTCTCCTAACACATTGCCTCACGTGGGATCCGAATTCGTATTTGGGGTTCAACAAAAAAATAAACAAACAACTATGCATACTAGAAAATTCAAATGGGTCAGAGACTTGGCCCACTTACCACCTAAGGCCCAATTATGATATCATGATAGATCATATAACCTAAAACCAATTGACTATAGGTGGAGTGACCTCTCAAGTATATAAATCTACCTTGGTGGTCCTAATTATTTAGTGTGGAATACAAGCTCGCTTAACATGAATAAGAATCAAATCCATGCCTCAATAATGGAGATTGGTTGAGCATCTGGCAGTCCTATCGAGTGGACGACTATGGTTCTCTCTGTTGACTTTTTCATCATTTCTCTTAAAGTATCTAGAGACTGCTTGAGCCTTAGGCTAGCAAGCATCTAGTGGTCCCCTACTGGTTTTTAAGCCTAAAACATAGCAAAAAGTGCCCTAGAGCACCAAGGGTGTTGCTTAACTAGGATCTGCTTCATGACTTTTTTTAGTGTTTCAAAACATTTTTGAGTTTCAGAAAGCTTTAAAGAGAGTCATGTTATAGAATTCAACCTAAATCCAATTTGTACTTCTTTTAAGTTATCTAAAGAAAAATCAACCAAGGCAACTAGTTATCTAGGCCATTTACCTTTACCTAAACATTGAAGGATCCAAGTAAGTCTTCAAATGTGACTTTGTATCTTGGACTTCATCTTCCCCATTGCTTCGGTCTTCATTTTCTTAGCATCATGACCACGGATTTAATTGAGATATTTTCATGTAATTTCACGGAATTAGCCAATTATAATCAATTTCTTGACAATATCTCCATTTGGCAATTTTGTGACAAAATACAAGAGGAATAAAATCAAAAGATTACAAGTTGATAAACCTTAGAAAATAACCACGAGTCATAAATTAACTTCAAATTTCAATTGCAAAGTTACTCAATCTCACTCTGTATAAAATTAGTCTTTTGATATTTTCTGTGTACATAGTCATGCACAAGCACCACTTAACCAAATACCTCGTGAAACACACATAATATATCAAAAGGTAAACCATAAACACAAGGTTACTGAGTGATAATCAAAACACTAAGAGCAATAAGATACATATACATTGGCAACATGCATGAACAAGTAATATGCAAACACATATAAGAAAATCCGTCACACTTGTGCTTAAGAACCACTAGATACAACCTTAGTCACATAATCCTTCAAAACAGTCAACGCAACAGTGTTTCGCGCTTTGAAAGCCAATTCTCCGTGAATTCTCGCTCTTACTTATTTACTTACTCATTATTACTTAAATTTTTATTTGGAAAATACTAATCTATGCATAAAGATACATATCAAACTAGAATGATATTTTGTAACCTATAATTGCTATTTTAGGAACTTATAATCAATATATATTTAATAATTAAATAGTTTGCCATATAGTTGTACAGGAAATTTAATTTTTTATATTTAATTTTTGTTAACTTCTATGGGTGAATGTTTGTCCAGATGCATATAATATAACGTTGTCAAGGCACTCTCGCTCTCAAATATTTTTAAATTTTGTTGTTTTTTCACTCTTTCTCTCCCCCCGCCCGCCTGCCAGTAGTTTCCGCTCTATGTGATCTAAGATACAACAATTAAGCTTAACTAGTCTCGTTCTCAGTGCTAAACAACAAAAAAAAAAATTAGCAAGTGAAAAATAACGAGACAAATGGGAATTTATGCCAAAGTTTTAAATTTTATTCACCTCGAGTATTTTCAATATACTCCCCCTTTCTATACTCTTCTTTCAACAATTCTTCTCAAGCTTGCCCACAAATTTCTCCCCATGTTTATCATGAAGTGCCAAAGACAACATAACAACAGAAGTAGAGAAATGGCCATTAAAGTATCAAGCAATCAAGAAAAAAATAAGAGTATATCGTGAAGGTTAACAACTATGACATATAACAAGAAGGATCGAAAACGATTAGTGAAAATATGAAGTACACAATCCAAATGTATGTTAATAACTAAACAATCAAGGATTACATTGACAAAGGAACAATGGAATTGCAGATAAGCACTCAAGCTCACAAAAGTTCCAAGTCTAAGTGTCCTAAGCACAAGCAACATCTCCCCAATTCAATCTGCTCGACGATCACTTTGGGATTATACTCCCCATCATCCCAATCCTCATCATAATCATCATCATTATCAGCTGGTTACTTCCCCTTTAGATTTCTCTCAAGAGGTATAGGTAGCTACTTAACCATGCGTTACAAGCGTCCTAATCGAGCTCCCATAATCTAAAGGACTTCTCCCTTCCCTTCTCAATACTCATAACTCATAGCAACAATATCTTCTAGCATCTGATATGTGAGACTAAATTGTTCATCCATGTGTGCCTTCAAGCTAGAGAACATGCCCATGATCTCAGATATTTGGGTTGAACTGAGAAAAGAACCACGCTATCAAAGGATGGTGTAGTCGAAGTACTAGGACGTGGATTGACTAGTGGTGGTGCTCTCGAAGATGTAGGATCTTGTGTTGTCAGGAGTATCAGATCCTCATGTTTTGCGTCATGTCGCTCAGCCTCCATAGGAAGACCAATCTAGCATGGGATAAACTTTGCTTTATAGTGTTTTTTTCCTAATGGCTTCATCGGGGGCTTCAATTGATTAGAATTTAAAGTATCAACTCCCTCCTTCATGCATATCCGTGTGATCAATGAATCGAAGGATAACCCATCCGAAATTCTACCCTTATCAAATGTCCTTCAAATCATTCCAAAGATCAATGCTGGAAAATCAATCTCTACTCTAGTGCCAATTGCAGGGAATGTATAAGTTCGTGCTACAGTGATGGAGATCGTATAGGAATTGGATAAATATTTTAAATTAATTATAAGAGTTATTTGGATACTTTAAGTATTTATCTTTTAAGTAATTTCTTTTAACTTTTGAGGGTTTATTTGTAATTATTTATTTGTTTTAGGATTTTAGTTTCCCTATATAAAGGGATGCATGTAAGGGTTTTATTTAGATTATACTTTGATTATTATTGAATACTGGTATTGCTTTCTTCTCAAAATTATTCTCTTTTTTTATCCCTTCTTTTTTTTTTTCATCCCTTTCTCCTTCTCTTCTCATTTCTAATTTTTTCCTGCCCAGTGTTCATCAATTTGGTATCAGAGTTAATACGATCTACATCAATTTGGTATCAGAGTTAATATGATCTATATCAATTTAATGATGAGGATCGTATAAGAATTGAATAGATAATTTAAATTAATTATGAGAGTTATTTGGATACTTTTAGTATTTATTATTTTTTAAGTAATTTCTTTTACCTTTTGATAGTTTAT